TTTTTCTCGAGATGGTGTCTCACTCTGTCACCCAGGCTGGAGTGCAGTGGCGCAATCTCAACTCATTGCAACCTCTGCCTCCTAAGCCCAAGCAACCCTTTTTTTTTTTTTTTTTTTCTCGAGATGGTGTCTCACTCTGTCACCCAGGCTGGAGTGCAGTGGCGCAATCTCAACTCATTGCAACCTCTGCCTCCTAAGCCCAAGCAACCCTCCCACCTCAGCCTCCTGAGGACCTGGGACCATAGGCACATGCCACCACACCCGAGTAATGCTTTGCATTTCTGGTAGAGACGGGTTTTCGCCATGTTGGCCAGGCTTTTCTTGAACTGCTGAATTCAAGTGATCTTGCCCCTTGGCCTCCCAAAGTGCTGGGATTACAGGTGTGAGCCACTGCACTTGGCCCTGGCTTCTTTAATTTATCATAATGCTTTCAAGATTCATTCATGTTATTGTATGTATCGCTGTTTTATTCTTCCCCCCCACAGAGCTTCGCTCTTGTTGCCCAGGCTAGAGTGCAATGGCACGATCTTGGCTCACTGCAACCTCCGCCTCCCAGGTTGAAGTGATTCTCCTGCCTCAGCCTCCCAAGTAGCTGGGATTACAGGCGTGCACCACCACCCACGTCCAGCTAACTTTTGTATTTTTAGTAGATGTGGGGTTTCATCATGTTAGTCAGGCTGGTCTTGAACTCCTGACCTCAAGTGATCCGCCCACCTCATATTTTATTCCTTTTTATGGCTGAATTAATATTCTCCATTTTGTGTATCCATTCACCAGTTGATGGACATTCAAATTGCTTCTATTTCTGGCTAATTTTTTGATGTCAGCAAATGAAATTTATTTTTATTGTATAAATGCAAAAATTACAGGAAAATATTTTAAAGCTTTAAAAAATGCCTAGTGACATGATACAGGAAAATCACAAAGCAGGAGAACTACACGAAATTAACAAATTTCATTAAAAATGTCTCACTGTATCTCAGATTTTGAAAGATTACATTTCTGTGGAAGACAGTTGATTCTGTTGAAGATATAATGACCCCCAATTTAATTAATAAGTGATGATAGCTACCGATCTATTTCTTTTGGAGAGGAGATAAGAACAATGTGTATAAGTTCTGTGAACATGTAATAAACACAATTTTCCAGATCCAGCGTTAGCTCGGGGTTCTGAAATTATTTATATTATTTTAAATTTTAGATTTGGGGGTATATGTGCAGGTTTGTTACATGGGTGTATATATTATGTGATGCCAAATTTGGGCTTCTAATGTTCACTCAAGTAGTGAACATAGTACCCAATAGGTAGGTTTTCAACCCTTCCCTCTTCCCTCACTCCGCCGTTTGGAATCCCCGGTGTTTATTTTTCCCATCTTTGGGGCCATTTGTAACCAATGTTTAGCTCACACTTATAAGTGAGAGCATGCAGTGTTTGGTTTTCCGTTTCTGTGTTAATTTGCTAAGGATAATGGCCTCTAGCTGCATCTATGTTGTTGCAAATGTGTGATTTTATTCTTTTTTATGGGTGTATTTGGCTATTTTGAATAATGCTGCTAATGAATATTCATGTACAAGCTTTATGTAGACATATATTTTCAGTTCTCTTGGAGATTTAGATATCAGTGGAATTGTTTGATCATATAGTAACTCCATGTTTAACATTTTGAGTAACTACTAAACTGTTTTTCACAGCAACTGTACCATTTAAAAATTTTCCAGCAATGTTATCACTATTCTAATTTCTCCAAATCCTCACCAAAATCTGTTATTGTCTGTCTTTTTCATCATTGCCATCCTAGTAGGTTTGAAGTGTTACCTCACTGTGGTTTTGATTTGCATTTCCTAATGACGATTGATGTAGAACATCTTTTCATATGCTTATTGGCCATGTGTTGTTTGTGCTTTGGGTGTCATATCTTAGAAACCATTGCCTAATTCCAGATCACAAAGATGTATCCATCAGACTTACTCCTAAGATCTGCTCCTAAGAATTTTATAGTTTTAGCTCTTACATTTAGGCCTATGATTCATTTTGAGTTAGTTTTTGTATATGGTGTGAGGAAGGGTCCAACTTCATTCTTTTGCATGGGGATATCCAGTTGTCCCAGCATCATTTGTTGAAAAGACTATACTTTATCCATTGAATGTTCTTGGCAGTCTTTTTAAAAATCAATTGGCCATAATTGTATGGGTTTATTTTTGGCTGTCAGTTCTATTCTGCTGATCTATATGTCTATCCTTTTGCCATTATCACACTATCTTGAATACTGTAGGGTGTATTTTTTGTTTGTTTGTTTTTTGTTTTTGAGACAGGATCTTAATCTGTCACCCAGGCTAGAGTGCTGCATGATCATAGCTCACTGCAATCCTCAAACTTCTGGATTCAAGATATCCTCTTGCTTCATCTTCCCAAATAGCTGTGACTATAGGCATGCACCATCAAGCCTGGCTAATTTTTAATTTTTTATAGAAATGGAGTCTCACTATGTTGCCCGGGCTGGTCTCAAACTCTTGGCCTGAAGCAATCCTCTCACCTTGGCCTCCCAAAGTTCTGGGATTACAGGCATGAGCCACCTCACCCAGCCTTGAATAGTTTTGTCATATGATTTGAAATTGGGAAGAGTGAATCCTCCAACTTTGCTCTTCTTTTTCAATATTGTCTTAGCTCTTCTGGTTTTCTTGCATTTATCTGTGAATTTTAGGATCAGCTTATTGATTTTGCAAAAAGGCAGCTGAGATTTTTGTAGGAATTGTGTTGGTTCGTCACATCAATTTGGGTAGTATTGCTACCTTAACAATATTAAGTTGCCTGATACATAAATATTTAATGTTTTTCCATTTATTTAGATCTTATTTAATTTGTTAATTGTTTCATAGTTTTTAGTGTACAAATCCTCCTATTCTTCATTAAATTTATTCCTGTGTATTATTCTTTTTGATGCTATTATAAGTAGAATTGTTTAACTTTTTATTCAGATTGTTCATTGCTAATATATAGAAATATACTTGATTTTTGTATATCAATTGTGTACCCTACAATCTTGTTCAACTCTTTTGTTAGTTTTTATACTTTCTATTTGTGTGTGTGAATCCAACTAGCTTTTATATCCTCTGAAACACTTAACAGAGTGCAGAGTTTTAACTAGTACTCAATCCATTTGTGTTTCTTCAATTTCTTTAAATGCCACATTGTCACATAAGCCTTCCATCCGGTGAATAACATTTATCAGTTCACAATACCACTGAGTCATTCTTTTTCTCCTTCAATTTTTATCTGCAGGCTTGGGAACAATGGGCCGAGGCATTGTCCTTTCTTTTGCAAGGGCCAGGATTCCTGTGATTGCTGTAGACTCAGACACAAACCAGCTGGCAACTGCAAACAAGATAATAACCTCTGTCTTGGAAAAAGAAGCATCCAAAATGCAACAGAGTGGCCACCCTTGGTCAGGACCAAAACCCAGGTTAACTTCATCTATGAAGGAGCTTGGTGGTGTAGATTTAGTCATTGAAGCAGTATTTGAGGACATGAGCCTGAAGAAGCAGGTCTTTGCTGAACTCTCAGCTGTGTGCAAACCAGAAGCTTTTTTGTGCACCAATACTTCAGCCCTGGACGTTGATGAGATTGCTTCTTCCACAAATCGTCCTCACCTGGTCATTGGCACTCACTTCTTTTCACCAGCTCATATCATGAAGTTGTTAGAGGTTATTCCCAGCCGATACTCTTCCACCACTACTATTGCCACTGTTATGAACTTATCAAAAAAGATTAAAAAGATTGGGGTCGTTGTAGGCAACTGTTTTGGATTTGTGGGGAATCGAATGTTGAATCCTTATTACAATCAGACATATTTCTTATTAGAAGAAGGCAGCAAGCCAGAGGAGGTAGATCAGGTGCTGGAAGAGTTTGGCTTTAAAATGGGACCTTTTAGAGTGTCCGATCTTGCTGGGTTGGATGTAGGCTGGAAATCTAGAAAGGGGCAAGGTCTTACCGGACCTACATTGCTTCCAGGAACTCCTGCCCGAAAAAGAGGCAATAGGAGATATTGCCCAATTCCTGATGTGCTCTGTGAATTAGGACGATTTGGCCAGAAGACAGGTAAGGGCTGGTATCAGTATGACAAGCCATTGGGTAGGATTCACAAACCTGATCCCTGGCTTTCCAAATTCCTATCACAGTATAGAGAAACCCATCACATTGAACCACGTATCATCAGCCGCGATGAGATCCTGGAGCGTTGCTTATATTCACTTATCAATGAAGCCTTCCGTATCTTGGGAGAAGGGATAGCTGCTAGCCCAGAGCACATTGATGTTGTCTATTTACATGGATACGGATGGCCAAGGCACAGGGGCGGGCCCATGTTCTATGCTTCCACAGTTGGGTTGCCCACCATTCTAGAGAAGTTGCAGAAATATTACAGGCAGAACCCTGATATTCCCCAACTGGAGCCCAGTGGCTATCTAAAAAAGCTGGCTTCTCAGGGAAACCCTCCCCTGAAAGAATGGCAAAGCTTGGCAGGGCCCCCCAGCAGCAAATTGTGATTCGGCCTCCCAGCTTATGCCCCACATGTTAGCATCAGGTAATGCTTACTGAATTTCAGTGAAATTAAATCCAAAAATCCAAAGTAAGATTGTTCTGAAATACAAAGCGAAAGAAATAATCAGTAGAGTCTTCTGTGCGACGACGTTCATGGTCAGATCTTTACGCGTGTGCTTCCCATGCCTGTGAATCTGCCCCTATCAGATGAATTCAATGCATGAACTTGTGTGAATGTAATACCATAATAGCTGATGAAAGAGGCTCAGGCGTAAGTTATGATTCTCAAGTGCGTTGATCATTGGAGAAATGAGTCATCAATTAATAAGTGATAAATGCAGCTAAGTCGTACATTCATTTTGACCCCTTTCAACCTCACACACATAGCATTGATCAGAAGTCTTATGAATCATACATACAATCAACGAGCATTAAAGTTGTAAGAAAAACACAGTTGGAAATTGGTAAGGGAACCGAGTACTTCCAACCAGCACGGGGAACTCAGGGTAGTGTGGTAAATTGTGCTCAATGTATCACTTCTGTGCAAGCCTCGGAAATGTTTGTTGATCATTTCGCTAAGCACAGGGGACAACCTAGTTTTTCCTCTTCTGTTTACGGAAAAATGATAGAAAGTAGTAAGTTGTTAACTTGTGTAAGAAGGGTCTTAGAGAACATCTAACCTTCTAGGAGTTCCCAATTCTGTGATAGAGTAACGATACCAGTCCCCTGTTATGACAAGCCTTTGTGATTTTACATATGGAAATGACTGAATCTTGAAAAATCTAAAATTGTTACAAAACATATTTTGTATAATTTTGTTATGAGTTCTCTTTTTACTTTTTGACTTGTGTAATTAAAAATTAAGGGGCTGGTCAATACAAAAACTTGTACGCAAATTTTATAGCAGAATTACTCATAATGGCCAAAAGCTGGATACAACCCAAATGTCTATTAACTAATGAATAGATAAGCCAAATCTGATATATCCATGCAGTGGACTATTATTCAGCCATAAAAAATAAAGGGCCAGGCACAGTGGCTCACACCTGTAATCCCAGCACTTTGGGAGGCTGAGGCGGAGGATTGCTTAAGGCCAGAAATTCAAGACCAGCCTGGGCGACATAACAAAACCCTGTCTCTACAAAAACTAAAAAGAAATTTAGCTGGACATGGCGGCACATTCATGTAATTCCAGTTACTTGGGAGGCTGAGGTGGGAGGATCTCTTGAGTCCAGGAGGTTGAGGCTGCAGTGAGCTGTGATCATGCCACTACACTCCAGCCTGGGCAACAGCGTGAGACCCTGTCTCAAAAAAAAAAAAAGTATGTATTGATACATTCTACAAGATGAATCTTGCAGACATTATGCTAAGTAAAAGAAGCCAGCCACAAAAGGCCACATACTGTATGAATGTTTTTATGAAATGTCCAAAACAGGCGAATCTCTAGAGACAGAAAGTACATTAGTGGTTGCCTAAGGCTAGAATTGTGGGGGAGTGATGAATGGGGAGCACAGGATTCATCTAATGGGCACAGGATTTCTTTATGGTTCATGAAAATGGTCTGAACTTATTGTGGTAATGGTCACATAACTGATTTTGAGTGAATTATATGGTATGTGAATTATATCTCAATAAAGTTGTTAGTAAATAAATGGGGCTGACGATGTTATCCTTCGGCGTGGTGTAAATGAACTTTGACAACATTTTCACCTGTGAACTCAAACAAAATGATAAAAGTTCTGATGTGAAAATCTGCAGTGAATAAAGTTTCCCATTGTTAAAAAGCAAACGAAAACCAGCAAAAAATTCAAATGTGCTTTGAATTGTACAGAGCACAATTAATTATGTTTGAAGTGTATACTACTTCATTTTATATAATTTGGTTTGTGAATTTAAAGACGTCAATGGAGATGATTCCTGAAAGTAGTGATTTTGTCTCCAAAGTGATTTGTTTTCAAATTAATGTTAAAAAAAAAAAAACATTTTTTCTTCAAACCTGGAATTAATTTTAATTTGAGTTCTTATGATTTATTTTCACCTTACACTAGCCTCTAGATTGAGGTTTTGAAACTAGAGCGTCCTTGAATAGATTTTATGACTCAATAACCCTTGAAATGTTATGGTAAAGTTTGTGTATATGTATCTGAGTGCGTTTCTTGGAAGAGGTACCGTATCTTACATCGTATTCTAAAAGGTGTCATAATAAAGGTTAAGGACCAATAGAAAATGGGAAGAGCGGCTGGACGTGGTGGCTCACGCTTTAGGAGACCGAGGTGAGCAGATCACTTGAGGTCAGGAGTTCAAGACCAGCCTGGCTAACATGGTGAAACCCTGCCTCTACCAAAAATTCAAAAATAAGGCAGGCATGACAGCGCATGCGCGTAGTCCCAGCTACTCGGGAGGCTGAAGCAGAATAATCGCTTAAACCTGGGAGGCAGAGCACAGTGAGCCAAGATCACTCTAGCCTGGGTGACAGAGCAAGACTCCATCTCAAGGTAAAAAAAAAAAAAAAAGAGAGAGAGAGAGAGAGAAAATTGGAAGACGAAATATGAGTTTATTCCTTCTTATTTTACATCAAATGAAGTCAAACTAATTCTTAATTTGCTGAGTCCTGCATATAATAGTAGTTAATATAATGAAATGTTTCAGGATATCCTCTCCTGTCCTTGAAAATACACTTGCTTAAAAGGCTGATTTGGTTAATAATTTTAAAACGTATTTTTTAAAAGAAAGCTCTGGATTACATTTTTAAAAAATATGTTCTACTGAGAATTGACTCTGATGAGAATTATATATTGGAAACACCCTTGAAGCTGTAAGACGCCCAGCTTTAAAGATGCTGTTAATGATGCTCCTTGAGTCGGTAAAGCCGCCGTGCACCTGCCGTTTCTCTCTATTTGTTTATTTCCAGCAGGAACAGGTATGCACGAAAACGATAAAGTCAGGAGTCCTAAATTCTCCTGATTAATGATGTTACAGAATTGTTAATGCAAATCATACTCTGCTGCACTGTAGGGAGCTATAGCTTTGTCTTTAAAATAGACACCTAGAAATCAGAAATATTGCAGCCTCACTAGATTATCTGCACCCTTTCGGTAGCCATTGATAAGATTAAATCAAGTTCTCTGGACTACCTTTAAAAGCAGTTTTATGCAAGAATAGAATAGTTCTTGAGGATTCTTGGGACCGTCAGTACCGTCTGCTTATCTTACCAGCTTATACATATTTCGAGATTAGCAGACAAGTACACTGCTTCCAGGCTGGACAGCAGGATTGCACAACTCCAGTGCACACCATTCATACTGTGTACCAAAGGGGTTGTCATCCACATAGAAATGATATGAACAACATACCTTGGAATTGTCTAATTCCTAGTTTTGTTTTCAGGACACTCTGTGTAGCAGTTTCAAGCCAAAAACTCTTCTGGTTATTGCTGTATCTTTCTAAATAATGGCTGGCAAAAGTGGCTGGGAAAATCTCTATTTAGGCTGGATCACCACTGGGACCAAATTTATAAGAAATGATTACATTTTGTTCGTTCTTTTTAATATTATTTTCCTAGCACCCTGAGAAAGAGGAGTATGAGAGAGATGAACAGAAATTTTAATTCTTGTCCAAAGAATTCCAGGGCATTTAATTTATTTTTTATTTTTTGTAGAGACTATGTTGCCCAGACTAATCCCAAATTCCTGGGCTCAAGCAATCCTCCTGTCTCGGGCTCCCAAAGTGCTGGGATTACAGGCATGAGCCACTGCACCGGGCCTCCCAGGGCATTTCAATTGAAATATTTATGTGTTCTCTTTCACCCAACTTAAAGTAGCCTGGCAGAATGAGTGCCTGCCAGCATCTCATGAGATGACATGAGCAGAGCTCATGCAGTCACTCTTGTGCACATTTTCACTGCACTTAGGGCTATTCCACATTCTCCAAGGGGACATGCAAACAGTTGCTAATTCCAGCTGTAATATGACATCCCTAGGATGAGCTTAGGGCAAAACCTTCTCCAACTGATCCTAAATGGACATGGATTTCCAAAGCTGGTCAAGGCCTGGCGTGTTGTTGATTTATGAATTGACGGTTGGCTCTCCCCCAAAGTTTATCTTCTTATGTAGGAATAAATGTCCCAAATTTTAGCTAAGCATATAGTTGCCCAGAATACACAACGTATTTGTCAGCTTCTCTTATATGAAATTGTGGACATGTGACTAAGTTCTAGACAATGGGATGTCAGAGGGAGTGTCACATGGCAGCGTCTGGGAACTGGCCTTCACAGTCAGATGATGTGCAGCCTTTGCCCATTTCTTTCTTTGTCTCTTCCTTCATCTTCCTGCCTGGAACACAGACGTGATGGGTGGAGCTGCAACCACTAGACTAGACCATGAAGACAGAGGCCACGCCCTGGAATGAAGAGCAGTAGAGAGCTTGGGTCCCTGAGGAGCTCATGGAGCACCATTGCCACTCACTCTGCCTTCCAGCAGTCATTTAGGTGAGAGAGCAATCAACTCCTATAATGGAGAATTTGGTGTTATTTTAAGGCTTTACTCATAACTGACCCTAATCTGAACGAATGCAAGTGGGATCCAAAAATGAGTAAGGTTTGGGGTTTTTTGTTTTGGTTTTGGGTTTTTTTTTCCTCAGTGCTATAGATAATTCTGATGCACAGGTAGTTTTATTTATTAATTTATTTATTTAGGGATGGTGTTTCACTCTTGTCACCTTGTCACCCAGGCTGGCATGCAATGGTGTGATCTCGGCTCACTGCAACCTCCGCCTCCTGGGTTCAAGTGATTCTCTTGTCTCAGCCTCCAAAGCAGCTGGGATACAGGGGCACGTCACCATGCCCAGCTAATTTTTGTATTTTTAGTAGAGATGGGTTTTCACCATGTTGGCCAGACTGGTCTCGAACCCCTGACTTCAGATGATCTGTCTGTCTCGGCTTCCTAAAGTGTTGGAATTACAGGTGTGAGCCACTGAGCCCAGCCACACAGGTAGTTTTAAGAATCTAGTCTCATTAAACAAAAGTGTTTTTGCCAGTTTGATGTGTTTTTCAACTTGATGTTGAATTACTCAGAAATTTTTATATGTTCCACATACAATTGTTGTGGGCAGATGGAGATGCTTACTAAGAACCTGAGAATAGGGCTTTAAATAAACATTTAGTAGGAGATAGTCTCACAGGCCTACTTGAACCTCAGAATGACCTTTATTTAATTAGAAATGAAAAACATTCATGAAGAAAATATGTATTAACAGAAGGATAGGTGGTCAACAGCAGCATGAAGGAAAAGAAGAAAAATTGGGAAAGCAGTATGTCTCAGCACTGACTACAAATACTAAACCTGGGGTGCACGAACTTTCTGCTCACTAGATCAGAGATCTCCAAAATGCTGTGCCTCCACCCAAAGAGTATGAAAAATGATCCATGGAGCCGGGCGCGGTGGCTCAAGCCTGTAATCCCAGCACTTTGGGAGGCCGAGGCGGGTGGATCACAAGGTCA